AACAAATAAATTTTTCTCTATTATTAAAAATGTTCTAAACTTTTGTCCTTAAAATGTTTTATAATACTTAAAAATAAGAAATATTTGTTTTAAATCAAAATCCGATGAGCGTAAGAAAATTTACCAGTTATGAAGAAAGTGGTTGCTGCAGTTAAATCATTTTAAGAACAAAAATTAAATGCAAATATTATAAAAGAAAACAATTATTTTTATTTTTCAGTATTAATCAACTTTTATTTCAATCAATTTTTCAGAATACATTAATTTCTCTACCACTACAAATTAAAATATTCTGAAATTTTGTTCTTAAGATGATTTACTTAAATAAAAAATGTTTTTAAAATCAAAGTCTAACATACACGGAAAAAATTTATCGATGATGAAGCAACAATTTCTATAAAGTGTTCAGCCATTTTAAAAACAAAAATTTTAAGTATTTATTAGTAGAAAAATTAATTCACCTAAAATATTTATTGAAATAAAGGCTGATTATAATGAAAGATAAAAATAGTTGCATCTTTCTCGTATCTTTGGACTGAAAACTTTTAAACCTTACAGCACAAGTACTTTTTGTGTTGTTATCGCGGTAAAAAAGATTAGTGAGACTCGCCACGATTTTTGACGCGAGACACGCGACTCATCACCGTCGAATCCGACGGGGGATCGTCGAGAATCGACGTGGACAATGCAGGATGGCGGCTCGTGGTCTGTGGATGATGGACGGGAAAACGTATGAATGGAGGCTGACGTCTTTGGGATATCGCGATGGACATTCCGGCGCTTAAATCGAGTCTGGAACCCGGAGTTGCGTAAGCACGACAGTCACGACAAGCGTTCCCCGTCACGAACCATAACGGGTGCGCACTTTTGTCGCTTGTATAGGTGAAAAAGTGCCATACAATCACCTCGTCCTCTCGTGATTCCCGTCGGGAATTGCAAGAACGAGAATTCACGGCTGGCACAGCCGCACCTCGGCTCTCCCGGCGTCTGTAATTCACCTTACAATCTCGTTCGGCGATCTGTTCGAGATGTTAGTCTCCAAATCTTGTTGACGTTTCACTGTCTTTTTATCCAATTTTTCGAATTTATTCAAACGCTTCGTATAATCATAAGGTGATAAAATAAAATAATCATTTTTATTTTTCAACAGAATAAACTTTTATTGTAATATGAAATCTCTCTAATAATAAATTAATTTACTGCAGCTGAAACATATTATTATTATTATTTCATTGCGTTTAATATTAATTATGTTAAAGATCTGGACTTAAAACTTACCATATTATTTTTTTTACTATTTTATTGTTTTATTTAGTCTAAGCTTATAATTTATTATATTATTATTATTATTATTTTATTGTGTTATATGAATTATATTAAAAATCCAGGCTTATAAACAGCATTGATGCCTCATCTCATGAAATGCCATTCTCTATCACATTTTCTCCAGTTTCAACAAAGATAATACAATTTCAAGATATTAAATGCGCTCATTTCAATCCTGAGATTTCAATACTAACGCAGTTAATGTAAACTGTATGCTGAATGCACGTTTATATCAGTGAAAGTGAGGCGTAAGTACAAATCAATGTTTTTAAAAAAAAAAAAAAAGATTTCCATATTTAACAGATGGACAAAGACATTCGAGGATTAAAAACGATTGTTTGACTCGGAAAGGTCAAATCATAGTGCTGCTCAATTATTCAGCTTCTTTTCTTCTCTCACATGCATATGTAAATAGAGAACTAAAAATAGAAGATATGATAAAAGACTGAAAAAACGATTTACAGATAGAGACTCGAGTTTCTTACCACCCTTCCTGGAAGACCACGAAATTCCCATTTTCTTACGTCATCCCTACAGCCGCTGAGTCACGCCATTCTATCGTACCCCATGAGGCATCGTAAACATTCTCGCCACCCTCGTGTTCGCGACTGCAGGGTAAAATCGCATTTTCAGCATAGCGGTCGAAGGGTATTTTGGAATTATTCCCTGAACAGAGTGTTCGAGAGGTACGGTTTTTGGAACGTCAAGTATACAAAATGTTATCGGAGAGATTTCATCCAATCGAAAGCAGAGAGTAAATTCCCAGAAAATGAGAGCAATCTCCGACATTTCGTTATTAGAATTAAAATTAATTGATCTCTTTTCTCGAAAGAAAAATAGATTCTGAAAATTAAGATTGATCAGCTTCTCAATTCAGATTAATTCTCTCTCGAATAAATTTTGAAAAGTTCACGGAAAGAACGTAATTTTGCTGAAATATCTAAAAATTTAAGGAAAGTAAATATATCTGAGAATAATTTTAAACAATCAAAATAATTATGTAGAACACTTGAGCTGATTGCTAAAATATCAAAACTTCTTGCAGAATTATGTCATGTTTAATTTCTACTATTCTATAATTATTTTAACAGTCCAACAAAATTAATTTCAATCCAATTAAATTTGTAGATGCTTTAAAATCGTTCTGTTTTTAGGAAAATTAAGATAAGCGACCTTTTTCCTCTTTCCGACACGCAAAAGCGAAACTATCTCCGAATGTTTTGAATGAATTACGCGATTGATTTCAAGCTTTGTACATTTATTCTGTGTATCTTCAGCAACGTGTGTAAAATAAAAATTACTAAAAAACATAAATGTCTCAAACATTAAATGCGTTTTTCTCAAGTAGTAGTTTTCAAATCTGTTTTCAAAGCAGATTTTTAAAACATGATGATATCTCAAAAACTATCGAACCAGTTGACTTTTTCTTGTCTTTTAATGTAAAAAAATTACGATTATTTTTTTTTATGAAATATAATAATATAATAATAATTTTAAACGCGCGATGCCATTTTGTCAATTTTCGATTTTCCCATAAAAGCCAAAGTCCATTATTTATCTACACCATTAATAAATAGAATTCAAACTTATTTCCGTTGATTCAAAAGAGCAAGTTCTTTTTGCACCGTCGTCATTTTATATCATTTGAACGAATTATCATTTTTCTCACAGTTTTTTTATTTCACACATTGTTGAAGATACATAAAACCAACGTACAAAACTCGCAATCTCCCTTCGTCGTACAGTTAAAAAAAAAAGTCGTACAAATAGCCTTGTTTTCGTACGTCTTAGAAACCATTAGCCAATTTCTTCGCGTCTCTTGAAAAACCAGCGCTCGTCGCGATCAATTCTCCATGTTCGATTATCCGACACCATGTTAGACGTGGCGCCATAACAAAATGTAAATCTAGCCGTTTCGTGGCGCGGCGCGCCGGACTCGCCAACCGTGTCAATATGTAATTCCTCCGGTTATGAAACGAAAATTTACGAGCACAAGGCCGCCCTGTGCTATTATCATAAGCGAAGAAATTAACGTAATCGCAGTCACGACGGCCCTTTCAATTCCCTCAATAACAACGGCGACGGTGGCGGCGGCGGCGGCCGATATATAAAACATGTAATTCAAGATTTCCCATGGATCGGTTCGTGCTTGCGATCGGATCTGAATTGCGTCAATACGCGCGCGTTGCATAATAAACCATAATATGGCATAACTCCGCGTATTGCGCACACATTATACCCGTCGTTTGCGATCACGATATTATTATTTCTATTTCGCGGCTCTATCGCGATATTATCGATGTAACGTGTGGCTCTTAGCCAACGAGCAACGATTTATCAAACTAGAATCGTTATACGGGTCTTTCGTTGAATGTAAACATCCACATTGAATATGATACTCTCCTTTCCGGGCGCGAACAATAAAACTCTAGTCCAATGTCCATTTCTACCCAATGTCGATTAATTCTAATTTCTGTTTGACTTACTTTTATCTTTATCCAGTTCTAACAAGAAAATGGCAGGATTGGGAAGTAAGTAACGCTGTTATTTTTTTCTGTTTGTAATATCGTTACGTTTTTACAGTGTACTGTTAAAGGAGTAACGATAATCCATTTCCTCGAGTTAAACAAATAATGGTTTAACTTCCATGTCATAACGTAAATCAATCCATTTCTGTGTTAGTTTTAAAGTAAAAACGTCCACATTAATATATGCATTTAATAAATGATAAACTAAATTTGAATAAAAGGTACATTTCTTGGATTTAAATTGTTTGTTGTTTTAGTTAAGTTAATGACATATTGATTGTGAGTAGCAACACTGACGTTTCTATAAAAATTACCTATACATTGAGAAAAAAAATGCTGTTGATTCAATTAAAGTCTGTATAACATAAGTAATTAATTCATGCATATTTTTATTGACATAAAGGGCTTATTATTAAAATAATAATTTATGCCTTTATGTCAATAAAAATATAGATAAACTAATCACTTGTGTTAGTGACAGCCCGTAATATAGACGTTAATTGAATCAACAGCATTTTTTTCTCAATGTAAAAATTACAAATAATTCTATGATGTTCATAGAAATACCGTTAATCTTGAAAAATAGTAATTAATTACTTATTTTAAGTATTGAAAGTACCGTTGCTCACTTTTAGCACTCCAAATAAATAATTAATTGTTCTTAATTGATGGACCTGTATTATATTTCTGCGACACTTTGACATTATAAATTCAACAGTATGAGGAATTTCGCCGTTACTTTTATAGTTACCTCAATTCCTTATCATTAGTAATAATAATAATTATATTTATAATTCTACAAAAAAATAATTGACACCGAAAATGACTACAAGGTATATAATTAAATTATGCTTGCTCCAATTTTTTCCTCGCAATCAGTCCATTCTGCGATCGGTTTACGAATAACACGGCACGTAAAATTATAAATAGAACGAAATCCCGAATTCCGACACGGATCGCATAGATCGAAAGCTCGAAATGCAAACTTAAAAGCTTCGCAGGAAAACGTCATTAATTTCTGTCATGCGCGCGCGACACACGATACATATCCTCTGTAAATATACCATGTCGAAAGGTGAGGACGCCAAATATATGTAAGAAACACAAGAACCGAATGTTCGAATCACTGTGCGATCGAGTGTTACCGTGCTGGTGTGCTGTCTTCGCTGACGTCTGTCTAAATCATTCCGCTTCGCTCGATTCAGTTGCGACAACATTTATTTGCTTGTCACAGAGTTTCACTATTCGTGAAACGATCAAAGACTTGATATATATTACGAATAAATTGTGCTACACATTGGATCGATAAATCAGAAAGTTTCTTCTACTCTTCGCGAGGTACGAGTGTATTTTGTTTCCGCGTAACAACATTAATTTTCTTTGTCTTTACTTCGTACTGAATTCATTTTAGATCGATATTTAATTATTGCTCAGGATTTAAGTAATTTATTTATTAAAATGTTTTCAATTAATTTCAATAAAACATTCTTCCTTAATACTTAAAGAACTCACATTATTATTAAATGATTAACAGTTATTTCGATCGTTTGTCACTTCAAGTAATAAAAATGACTTTTAACGAAAGTTATGTCTTGTTTATTTTAAAGTAAATTCCTTTCATCGACTGATTCAGTGGCATCTTTTCTTTAAAAGGTTTTCAGATTATAAACACATGTTTTCTTTTTTTTTTTTTTTTTTACTAAAACGCATATATATTATCAGTCAAAAATACATATTTTGACTATTTGTCTGTGTAGATAAAAGTTTATTTGTAATTTGACGATTTCAACTTTTTTCGATGGTTATTCTGAAAAATTATATGTATATATTATTCTGTAATAAAGCAAGAACATTATAAAATATTTTGAAATCAAAGAGGCCGAAACCATTTTGTACTTCGACTTATGTCGTTGCTTCAAATCTGTACAGAAAGGACTTTGCTAAAGTATTTAAAAATTTAACTGGATACAGATTTGAAAATAATTTTGTTGAATTATCAAAATAATTATGTAAGACCGATTGCTAAAATGTTAAACGTTTTGCTCTCTAAATCTGAATCAGTGGATAGTCACTAATTACCCAGTGGCACACTTTGCACTGATAATCAGTGAAGTTCAACTAAAAAAGGAAGAATATTTGAGTATTATATAATTAAAACACTGGTATCTGCACGTTCAATTTCAATCTTCCAATATTCATTGAATTTAAGTACTAAAACAAGATTAGTTAGATGTCACAATAAAGATTAGCTAGGTTAAGGATCACATTCAATTCACTGATTAGTGGCATACTTGGCACTGATATCAATATATGATTACTGATTCAGATTTAGAGGATGCAGCGTTGTTTATTATGCTTAAGATTTCCTACGTAATTATTTTGACAAAGTCCAACTAAGTTATATCTTCAAATCACTGTATCTTATAGCTAAATTTGTAAATACTTCGGCAAACTCGTTTTTTCTGCGTGCCCAAACGTAATCAACATGTAAGTTTCCTTTTTTTACCGCAGAATTCTAAGGTTCACCCTTTTCACAACCGTAGAATAGAGGATTGGGAAACGTCTGAAAATTATCCGGCACAGTTTGTTGCAACTCGCCGGGAATGTTCTTACATTCTACATTGAAAAATGGAAGCGACAACCGACTCGTCTCTTTTCCTCACGAGTTCCAACTGCACGGACCACGATTATGAGTATTCGGAAATCAGTACACAATCCGAGAAGAAAAAACGTGTGAAAAGGCCTCCCGCGCCGAAGCCTTCTCTCTCTCTCTCCTTTATGTCTTTGACAGACATAGAAAAATCACTTAAAACCAACAAAGCTTCGTCAAAGGAAACCCAAAAGGCGAAATCTGAAGGTACGTTTTAAATTCGCACTGTAAAGCTTAGCAATCTCAATTTTCAATCGTAATACTTACACATACGGAAAAATCAGTTGTAAAGTATCTAAAAATTTAGCTGGTTACAGATCTGAAAATAACTTTGTCGGACCATTGAAATGATTACGTGGGACACTCAAGATAGTTATTGGAAGATTGAAATTTTTTGCAACTTGCTTGAGCATTTTATACAATTTTTTTGATAATCCAGGTCATACATCCTAGATCTAAATGATAGACGGAAAGAATAGTTTTGCCGGAGTGTCTCTAAAAAAAATTTAGAGTTAGATACATATCTGAAAATAATTTTGCTGAACCACATCAAAATAATAATGTAAGCCAGTCAAAATGGTTTCCAGAACGTCAAAATTTTTTGCAACATTGCTCTGTGTTCATCATGCTTGAGTGTCCAAAGAAAATTAATTCCAGATCTGTATCTAATTAAATTTTTAAATAGAAAACTGTTTTCTCCATAAACCACCTGTAATTTTAATTCTATTATTCTGGACGGAAATTTTTTTTATTCTTCGCCTCGCTTTAGAGAATCAATCAAACGTGAATTTAGCCGATATGAAAGATCCAGATTAATCCGTCGAGAATTATTTCACATTTCATATTTCATTTAGAAAAATTTGTTTTCAACAGACGAATTCTTGAAGGACTACTGTCCGTATTCCTCCGATAATTGTGGTTGCAGTTCAGGTTGCACGGATTGCGATTACGGACTCTATACGTACACGACTAAAAACAAGAGCAAGTTGAAAAGTAAAGACAAGAGATTCTATATAAGGCCTTCGAATAGTTTCAGACCTTTGGTGTCCGAGAAAAGTCGAAAAACTCCAAAACCATTTAGTGCTATAAATATTTTAAGGAAGAAAAAGACAGAACTTCCCAAAAGTACGTACATTCGCACCATAAACTTAACAATAATTCACAAATTTTTTACCTTTTATGCTTTCTTATTATGATACCGTTCGCGATTATGTAACTTTAACTTAATTGACTTTCGACTGTTCGCTTTATCTCTAAAAATCAAATATGAGTAATTAAATTCAATTAGGAGATTTAATTTAATTTAATATATTAATTTAATAACAATTTAATTTAATTTAAATATTAAAACTAATTGATCTAATTACTTTGTTATACATGGAAAAAAATTATTAACAGCAGTAGATCTAATTGTAAGTAATTTTATTAATTCAATAACAGTGTAATATAAATATTTGCTTTATATATTAAAATATAAGAGATCATTGTATTCAATTAGAAAGATTATTTCTAATTAGACTAATACTAATAATACTATTAATACTATTATATATTATTTTTATACATATATGTAGTAGAAAAAGCCTTGAAAAGCAGCTACTCCGAATCTTCCGGCAGTTGTAATGGCCAGTCAAACTATATAAAACATAACTTCAAACTAAAAACAACGAAAGACCAAAAATCAAAAACCAAAAAGAAAACATCAGCGAGGAATTTGAGAAAACTGAAAACAACGAGAATTGTGAAAACTCTAAAATTGCGTAAGAACAAGAAAGTTTCAAAGAAAGCAGCTACAAAAGTTTCTGAAAGTATGTTACAAATCTCAGTTATCTATTTAAATTCACACTTTATTATTATAACATTAAACTTTGATCGTGGCTGTCACTCGGTAGAGATTTTCGACTATTTCTTTTACCTGCGAAAATCAAACAAATTTAAATACTCCAATTTGAAATAGCTTAAGACTAATTTATTTTTATTGATTTACTTGAACTATTTTTACATTATTTGGTTGTGATTATCATATGCACACTTTTCTATTATATAAATTTTATTTTAGTAGGAACCGTTATGAAAAATTGGTTTCCTGATTCATCTATTAATTATGAATGCAATTCGGATTATACAGACTGCGAAAAGCGCATAACTATAAAGAGAAAAAAATTGAAAAGCAAATCCAGAAGAGTGAAAACTTCAACAAAACCGAAAATGCCTTCAGTAATCGATGAAAGTAATGATGACAGTTAGAAATGAAAAGAATTCGAAGCAAACAGCAGAAGTACGTCCTGAAAGTACGTCAAAAAAACCGCTTTGAATTTATCAAATGTTTATGAATGTAGCGATATACATAGCTACATAGCTCATTTTTTGTAATGATACATCTTCTTTTCTTTTATTTTTGTACCTTGTATATAATTCTATTGCTTACACAATATATTGTAGGTTGAATTACTTATTTCACCATTAAAATATTCTAAATGTGAATTTAAGTACCACAATCTATCTCGAAATTTACTTACTGACTCTGTTGAATAGATAAAGCAGCTTCGCAACTGTTGTAAAATTCTGTAACATAATTGGTCTTCCCCTTACTTTCTCTCTCTAAATGTATAAGCTAATCATATCAAAGAATTTTACAAGAGTTGCAAAGTTGCTTTCTCTGCCGAACGCAGCCATTAATTATACAGCACAGTATTACTAACTATTATTGAATATTATTTTTAACATTATTAAGGTAGTAAGATTATTTAAATAATCATTAACTTACATAGATGTTGATTTCTTTTCTATAAATAAATTTGTTCTTGTGTTTTAAGAACGTGTATCGTCACGGTCCTATTATTCTGAAAAAGTGATTCTTACTTCACTGATGAAAATTGCTACTAACAAGAAAGCAAAATCCGCCAGTCATGTCGTACGAAAACTCAACTGCAGAATTTTACTGAAATTTTAAATAACACGCTAATCAGACATTAATACAACAAATTATTTACATCGCCATAAATAGTTAATACATTACGAATGCTCTGTAAAAAAAGTGTGATGAAATATGATATATTAATTATAAAACAACATCACGTAAGAAAAATATATATGTTAACGTTAATCAATATATTCTATGTACAATAATTGTCGTGACATTATTTATATGTATATATTAGATTATGTGTAATTTTATTTACATAAAATTATTATTTTTCTATTTTAACATTATATTATTTTAACATTACTTTTCTCACGTGTAATACACCGTAATATATATATATATGTACTGATCGTCGGGAAAATTATTATGTAAATACATATATGTATATATACATGCAGTTTTCATTCACAATTATTGTCAAAGAAATTAATAAGTTGTGTAAGCGATAGAAGAGAACCATTTTACCAAGATGATAGTTTTCTTAATTGAATCATTTATTTTAACATACTTTTCTCATATACGAATAAGTACCGATCAATTAATAATTTGTGTAAACGAATCATCAGTACAAGAGAAATATTTTAGTACACCCGCTGCGTATCTTTTCGGAAAAATGTCTGTAAAATTGTATGAGGGGAATAAAGAAAAAAATTCTGCGCAGAACGCGCTACGGAAAGTCTCTACGCACTTAAAAAAAAAAGTCTAAAAATATGAACTCTATTATAACAGATAAATATGAATTTTAATAGCTTTTTTCCCCTCCTCCTCTTCTCTCGATAAAATTGAGACTTCTCGCACCTTCGACAAAAGACACGCTTTCCGCGGGAGTTTCGCCTTTCGCTTCATTTCGGCACGGCGGTCTCAAACGGACTAAAAACGGTCACAATGCGAGTTAATCAGACACAACGCGGGGAGGGCAAATTAAATTAGCCTCCTCTCGCGTCGGACTAACTCGCGGAAAGCGGCGCGCAGCTGAGAATGCGAATTACGTAACGCGGATAAAACCGAAATAAGAGAGATTACCGCGTCGCACGGATGAGACGAAGGGAGGACTGGAATCCCCGCGATGACATGCAAATATTTAGATAAGATTGTCCACGCCGTGCAACGGTACTCGTATACACCCACGTTCTCTCCTCGCGTGTTTACGTGCATGGAGGCGCTATTGCCGCGCGAATAACGAAGCACAGACGAGGCACGACACGACTATCTCAGCATGCGAAAGTAACATCTTGTTGTTGCAAAAAAAAATAGGTATATATAGTCTAGAATTACTGTTGAAGAAGAAATATTACAGAGTTAAAAGTCACAAATTCCTCATCCTCAAACGTCTCCCTGATTTTCCAGACAAAAATTTCATCATTTTCCCCGACTTTCAACGATATTTCGAATTCCATCGTATTTTCGTCGTGATTTGGCAACCGTTATTAATTTAAATATATCGTTGAGAGAGCAATTTTTAACGTAAACGTTCAATAGTATCAATGTACGTATTTAGTAAATAATAAATTGAACTTCCAGTCAAATTTAATTCACTTTTTCAGTTAAATTGTTTAACTTCAAATTAATGTTTCAATTAAATTAACGACGTATTCAATGGCGATTTATAGAAATGATTAAAAAAGTAATTAGCTGAGTGTAATTCGACATTATGAATTTGTATGTACAATCCCAAAAATGTCAATGTTTTTG